TAAAAAAAAATAAGTGGAAAACAAAACTACAATTTACTTTAATTTACTTAGATTTATTGAATTCATAATGGATTCAATCAAGTTAACTGAGATAAGCAAACTTGATTTCGTTCCGAAATGCCCGAATTTAATATTTTGAAGATCAATAAAATAAGAGGTTTTGTCGTTATAGAACACGGAATTCACTGGAAGCAATGATAAATAAATACAAATAGAAAAGGAAAGGGAGGAAATACAAAAAAATAGAAGAGAAAAGTCATACAAAGTTATATACAAATCACTACCCCCTTTTTTGTATTTCCTTAATTTATTTCCTTAATTGAATTTCGGTTGATTAAGACGAAGTTCCTTAAAAACCTCTGCCTTCTTTAAAATATCCTGAACAGTTTCTGTAGGTTGAGCCCCTTTTTCAAGGAAATATAAAATAGCAGGAACATTTAAATAAGTTTGATTCTTTATCGGATCATAAAAACCCACTTTCTGAAGATCTTTTCCTTCTCTTCGGGATCGAACATCAATTGCAACGATTCGATAGACGGCTCATTGGGATAGATGTAGATGAACAACACCCCCCCTAGAAACGTATAGGAAGCTTTCTCCTCGTACGGCTCGAGAAAAATGATTGATTCGAAGTTTTGTCTCTGTATGGAATTCTATCTAAGAAATGACAACTGGATCCATAAAATGATCAAAGCAATTAAAGATCTAAGTCTTTTTTTCTTCGTTCTTCCTTAAAATGAAAAAGAAACCATTCATACTCTCATAACTCAAGTTGGATAACTTTCAAACAGTTCAAAGGAAAATCTTTCGGCACTTTCATTTATTGAGCGGTCTTTCCTCCTTTTTTGTTTGTCTCGTTTAAAATCGGATTCTTCAGTCTGATCCAGTTATTAAGACAATTAAAAAGGTGTTTCCTTGTTCTGGGATCCTTTATCTTTGTTTTATTTTAAATCATTGGGTTTAGACATTACTTCGGTGCTTTTTAATCCTTTCAAAATGGCAGCAACATACCCTTTTTGCGATTTTTATGAAAGAATCCTACAAGATGATGGATTCCCTCGTGAAACACTTTGGATCGAAAAAGTTTGATCAATTCCAATAAATTTTTTCATTTTAAACTTGCTCGAATTGGATTCTTTCGATTTCCATACCTAAGATATATTTACGAAGTTGTTTCAATTTTTTTATTGATTGGCATTAACCCTAGACCCTTGCCCCGAGAAATAAATTAATACTTTCTACTCGAGCTCCATCATGGACTATTTACATTCCAAGACAACAAAAAACGAGGGGTTCTAGTGAAACAGAACCCATGATGTCGAGCTAAGAGCACCTTCATTCCTACAAAAAATGGTGGATGTACAAATCCACAACGGATCGTGTCCTTCAAGTCGCACGTTGCTTTCTACCACATCGTTTCAAACGAAGTTTTACCATAACATTCCTCTAAGAACCGGTATGGAATTGATTCAATTATGGAATCATGAATAGTCATTGGTTGGGCTGATGTATAAACACCATAATCTAAAGTATTTTCTATATCTTCTATATCTATAGTCTATAGATATAGGTGGATAAATATTTTTCTGAAGAAGTCTTAGTAAGACCCCATCGCTAATATTAAATTGTCTAACATTATAATATTAATTAAATTATAATATTAATTAATAAATATATATAATAAATAATTTATTTATATAAATAAAATAAGACGAATAAACGAATTCTTTTTGATTCTGCATCTTCACGTGACTTAATAGGAGAGAAAGATTCAGCTTCTAAGGAATGATTTAAACTATTTCTCTTTCGAAATTTCGAATCAATTTCTAAAGTTCCCCTCTCGACATCATTATTCCAAGAAAATTTGATAGTTAAAAATAACTTTTGATCATCTTAGGAAAAAAGATAAGTCTTTTTTTTTTTCATCTGATTGATAAAATCCAAAGAATGGGGAGGGTTTCGTATCTATCAATTCGATCAAATAGACTGAGCAATTGTCACTGTTTATAGATATTGAAATGAACGCCTTCCCATCACTGATTAACTCCTATCTACCCCATTCTATGGGACTGATGCAGCATAAATCAAAAGAAGGGGATGTCCTAGTCTTTTTTATTTTTACGAAATGCGAGCTGTCTGGGCACAAAGCCAAACAAGCCCAGATTAAGTCCAGTTTTTGCCCCTTTTTTTCTATTTTAGCCTACCTCATTGATTAAGAATTAAGAGACTTAGTGAATTGAATTAGTACCAAAAACCCCCTCTTGGCGAAAAGTCAAGAAATCTACAAAAAAGAAAATTGAATCTAATTAGGCTAATTTAGGGGGTAGAGAATATGAGATAGGGAATATGGATTCTTTCGTATCTCGATTCAGTTTTTGAAAAAAAAAAACGATTCATCGAAGAAAAAAATCAGAAACAACAATCACATTCCAGCTAACATTTCGATTTTAAACAGAACATTGTTAAAAAAGCAATCTATATTGTCAGAGAATATATATGTTCTGGGACGGAAGGATTCGAACCTCCGAATAGCGGGACCAAAACCCGTTGCCTTACCACTTGGCCACGCCCCATTTAGATTTCTATGCGATACTAATAAAGTATATTGCTGGTTTTGTTTGTTTGTCAACTCTAGCCCAAATATCTATAGAATCGATTAGATTGGTATTCGGATTTTTCTATGTTTTTGGTATGTGTAGATATAGAATTCAACTTAATTTATTGATCATTACATATAATTCAATTAAGATATTGTATGAAAATATTATTTTTTCGATTCTCCTTTGAGAAAAGGAGGATTTTTGATTGGGTGGGTTCAAAGAAAAAGAAGTATTTTTTGTTTACCTTCCTTACTTTCCTTTTCCTTATATAAATAACTCAATCAAAATGCAATTATCTCCAAGAACAAAAAGTCTGTTATGCTTAATACCTTTAGTTTGATCGGTATCTGTCTTAATTCGACCCTTTATTCGAGTAGTTTTTTCTTCGGCAAATTGCCCGAGGCCTATGCTTTTTTGAATCCAATCGTAGATATTATGCCAGTCATACCTCTGTTCTTTTTTCTCTTAGCCTTTGTTTGGCAAGCTGCTGTAAGTTTTCGATGAGATCCTTAATAATATCCTAGAAAATTCATGATTTATTCGAGAAAAAATTATAAAATCAATAAAATCAGATAAGCTTTACCGTTTGAAATCTCGATTCAAACATTGAAATTCTTGGATAGTCACGAGAAATCCGGCTTAACCTATTTCCTTCTTTTTTGGCGCTTTCCTTTCCAGTGAAAGACCTTATTAGGCTCCTCTTGTGTATATAAAAAATTTGGTTAATGACAAACTCTTATTATAAAAGAATTTATGAAAATTCTTTTAGAGAAAGAGCTTCGTTGCTTGGTGTCAAACTAGGATATGCGATGGATGATCTATTCTCTTTTTTTTTTCAAAAAAATCATCTTGGAGATTGTGTAATGCTTACTCTCAAACTCTTCGTTTACACAGTAGTGATATTTTTTGTTTCTCTCTTCATTTTTGGATTCCTATCTAATGATCCCGGACGTAATCCTGGACGTGAAGAATAAAATAAAAAAGGTTTTTCCTTGCTTGATTTTCAAATTTTCTTAGGATTTGGTCTATTCCATACATTTAACTAAGAATAAGAACAAAGGATTTCGAAATTTGAAAAAAAAAATCAAGTCAT